TTATTCTCAGGCGGTGGTGAATAATTTGGAGGATGCTCATGAAGAAATTGATAAGGCAATATCAACAGCTTTGAAAGAAAGCAAGCCTGTGTATATTAGCATAAGCTGCAATTTAGCTGCAATTCCTCATCATACCTTTGCTCGTGATCCAGTTCCATTCTCTCTAGCTCCAAGGTTAAATCAAATCAAAATTCTCAAGAAAACTCGTCCAATCGACGTTTGTTTTTGAGTCTAAGATTGTTTTTGTTTCATGCAGATTTAGCAACAAGATGGGTCTTGATGCTGCGGTTGATGCAGCGTTGGAGTTTCTGAACAAGGCAGTGAAGCCAATCATGGTTGGTGGTGTGAAACTGCGTGTAGCTAAAGCGAGTGATGCGTTTCTTGAGCTAGCTGATGCTTCAGGTTACCCCGTGGCGGTGATGCCATCTGCAAAAGGCTTAGTCCCAGAGAACCATCCTCATTTCATTGGGACTTATTGGGGAGCAGTGAGTACTCCGTTCTGTTCCGAGATTGTCGAATCCGCGGATGCGTACATCTTTGCAGGTCCAATCTTTAACGATTACAGTTCCGTTGGTTACTCTCTTCTCCTCAAGAAAGAAAAAGCCATCGTTGTGCATCCTGATCGTGTCACTGTGGCTAATGGTCCTACTTTTGGTTGCGTTCTCATGAGTGAGTTCTTAAGCGAATTGGCTAAGAGAGTGAAGCGTAACGAGACTGCTTATGAGAATTACCATAGGATCTTTGTCCCTGAAGGTAAACCATTGAAATGCAAACAAATAGAGCCTTTGAGAGTCAATGCTATGTTCCAACACATTCAGAAGATGATCTCTAGCGAAACCGCAGTGATTGCTGAAACCGGTGATTCTTGGTTTAATTGTCAGAAACTTAAGCTACCAAAAGGATGTGGGTAAGTAATCCAAACAAACAATGAATCTTTTTACATAATGCAAAATAACACAATATTTAGTTTTGTTTTCAATTCTAGGTACGAGTTTCAGATGCAGTATGGATCGATCGGTTGGTCTGTTGGTGCGACTTTGGGATACGCACAGGCCACACCAGAGAAGCGAGTGTTGGCATTCATCGGAGACGGGAGTTTCCAAGTGACGGCTCAGGACATATCGACTATGATTCGTAATGGTCAGAAAACGATCATCTTCCTGATTAACAATGGTGGCTACACAATTGAAGTCGAGATTCATGATGGTCCATACAATGTGATCAAGAACTGGAACTACACTGGTCTTGTTGATGCTATTCATAACGGTGAAGGCAATTGCTGGACTACAAAGGTAAACTTAAACGATTGATTATAAATTGAAATTAGCCCTAATTTTTAGGGTTTGAAGTAACAAATGATGGATTTTGTGTGTGTTTGGTAGGTGAGATACGAGGAGGAGTTAGTGGAAGCGATTAAGACAGCTACAACGGAGAAAAAAGATTGTCTGTGTTTCATTGAAGTGATTGTTCACAAAGATGATACGAGCAAAGAGTTGCTTGAGTGGGGCTCACGCGTTGCAGCTGCTAATGGTCGTCCACCAAATCCTCAGTAACAAGGAAGAAGAATGTTTGAGTGGGGCTCACGCAAATGATTTTTTTTTCTTTCTACAAGTACTGGTTTATAATTTTTCCTATTGTTTTTGACTTTTCGACCGTTGGTTTGAATTGTGTTTGGAGCTTTTATTAGTTTCTTTCCATTTACTACGCATTTTCGTGGAATAAAAAGTTACCTTTTCACTATAAGCTCAATGATTGTGTTCCGTTACCAGAAAGTCCGAATAAAGATTCTTTAACAAAAGTAAAAAGTCCGAATAAATCTAAATTGATTCAGTCATCAAATCATATCATCACGATTTGGTTAAAATTATTTGATTTTTTTTTCTTTTTCTTTAAGCCCTGCTACTCTGTTTATTATTTTTCCTATTGTTTTTTGACTTCTCGACCGTTGGTTTGAATTGTGTTTGGTTATTAAGCAAATTCACCCATAATCTAAATTGATTCAATCTTAAAAGTTACATTAAATGAATAAGTAAAAAAAGCTGGAATTTAATTTCTTTCCTGAAAAAATTCGATTCCATACTGAACTTGTTTCTATAAATCTTAAACCAAAAGATTAATCCTAATCGAAATCAAACCGGTTGATTATTCATCAAGTCTCTCTGGTCGAGCAAGAAGAAGATTGTTATGGAGTAAATGTTCAGGAAACTGAGAACGGCAGCTTCTGACATGAGTTTTGAGTTTGGGAATATTCGGGTGTGCGCTTCTACACCGATTGCAACGCAACTCGCCTTTCAAAACATCTTCGCTCTCCACATTGGCCTTGCCTTGGCTCTTGACCTCTTCAAGAACATCGACCGAGTCACGGAAGAAGGAGGATGTGAATGAGTTCCAGTGTTTCTTGTTCTTCAAGTTATCGGATTCGAAGTCTTGGCTTATAACGTGCAAGTGTAGTTGTCGCATCGAGGGAACCTAAAAAAAAAGCAACTGAATCCATGTTAAACATATCGATTTCGAGGGTTAACGAACTCTTAGCTCTAGACTCCACAGGGAGTAACACCAAGTGCAAAGTTTGAAGTCAAAACTCAAGAGAAACGGAAAACTCAATGTTCTGAAAGTAAAGGATTGCTTAAGTACCGAGTGATATCCAAGGCGGAAGATAAGAGATGAGTCCTCGTTTTGGAATTTCTCGACCCATTTCAGACCAACACTGTGCATTTCCTGCAGAAGTTGAAGATTTTCTCTACGAACGTCTTCAAGCCCATCTAGACTCTGCTGCCTCGCCAGTACTAGCAAGTGTTTCCGCGCCTAAACCGGTTGAAAAAATCCTGAATTTTTTCATCCGTTTCATAAAGATAGATACTATTATAAATTAGCATCAAGAATTTTACCTTTGGGTACTGGTCGTTTATCACAACTATGTCGTCTGAAGATTCTAGCACGACATTCTCGTGTTTCTCTGGGTGCATCGCGATGCTGTGAAGTGCCAATGCCCATGAGCTCCACCCTTTACTCATCTTCTTTCCACTGTCTCTAGTATCCTCCACAGACCCTGATTCCAAATTACTAGCTACGGCCATATCTTGTGGTCCTTTAAACTTTTTGTTTCTCTCAGAGTCATCCTCGATATTCTCACTAGAATCTGGTACAGCTGCTGGATTGCTTCGTTTGGGAAACTTTGATTGATCCTGTACTATCGACAGAAAACCTTCAAAGAGGGACGTGTACGCCTCCCGGAGAGATTTGCAGCCTTTGGTGTAGTCGTTGTTAAGGTAGTTTGGTCTGTTTGGGTTCATGTTTGGTCCTAGAACATGTATCACATGTGTAATTCCTTCCGCATTTTGTAAAGGGGAGGTAGAAGGAAGAGGAACTACCACAGCTTTTCCTGGAAGAAGAGTGTTTGCTCGTGCTCTTGTCGCAGCCTCGAGATCTGGACCAGCAGCTTTGAATATCGCTGCGTTTACACCACCACCTCCGGGCTTAAGCCGCCTGCACACATTTATTTAGATTACGAAATTAGCTATTCATAGAAGATGTATCCTCCTAGTCTTACTTGACAAGTTGGCGCATTTTGGAACAGAGCAAGAAATAATGGAAGCTTACCAGTTAGCAGCATTAGCTATAACATTGCATTGCAGACCACCTTCGGAATGAAGCTTAGTTATATCTCCGACAAATGTGAAAAACCTTGCTGAGTCAATGTTCTTCCGAGAAGCCTTAGCCTTGACCGCAGATAGAATCTTTGACCCATGGCTCAAATCCACCAAGACAAGCCGTGCAGTCCCAAGTTTAGGCAGGAATTCCTCTGCTTTCTCGACAATGATATCAGATGCCTTTTCAAGATCAAACTGGAAATCTGCAGTCGAGATTGACGGGAATGCCAGTGTATGTACAATATCAGCAGAACCATGCTTAGTTGGCGAAACTCGAGAATTTTCTGTCTTTTCATTAGCTTTGCGAGTAGCTTCAGTAGTTTCATTAGAAGACGAACCAGGAAGAGTATTGACTTTCTTAAAGAACTTCATTATACCGAGTTGGCTTTTGGTGTCCGAATTCTTTTGGCCAAAACAGCCAGAAGGAAGCTTATCCATTGGACCAAGCATGCTGTATGTGTTAACAGCATTCTCAACATCTGCGTCGTTGTAACAGAACATAATCCGAGAAAACCCTTCATTCAATTTTGGAAGTTCTTTACTCTGAAGCATTTTATTCACAACAGCTGCAGCTCTTCCGCCTTGTAGATTTCCTTCATGACCGGTTCTTTTGACTGATCTCGATATACAAACCTGAGCAGGAAGCTCAAGAACCACTGCATGGACTTCAACCTCAAGACCACTGAGCTTAATAAACTCCGAGCGCTGCTCCCTGTCAAGATTGCATCTGTCAATGAAAACACTCTTGCCTTCCTTAAGAGAATCAATCGCCATCTTTAAGCACTGAGCTTTGCTTCCTGCTTTGCCATTGTTAATAATGTCCTGAAATAATAAGACGTATATATCTTATGAGAATCAACATACTTTAATTCTAAAGATTTGCTTCACAAATCAACAACATCGAACTTATGTTCTGAATAAAGATAGCGGAAAATTTTGTAATATCATAAGTTCATCAACGAATCTCCAACACGATTCTCACTTCAGGTGACAATATATAAACACACTTCAACATCCAACAAAACAAGTGATTTACACAATTACACCCAAATACTTAGTCTCGTTAAAGAATTTCATCAGTCAACTTATGCGCATTAATCAATAGAGAGAGACCTGGCAGATGCGAGACCAAGGGCGGTGAGAAGAACGCATGACGGAGTCACAGAACGTCGATTTGCCGCTTCCTGGCGGACCAATGAGAAGAACTACTATCTGCTTCGCCTTCTCTGCTTCAGTTTCCGACATCATCACCACAAAATTCATCAGAATAAGCTTCACTTTGTAAACATTAGAGAAATTGAAGGAGAAGTAAACCAGAAAAGGTTTGAATTACCAGAGTCTTCGATTTGCACATCCATTTTTCTCTCTCTCGGTGATCGGAGAACCCGTCTCTCTGTTTCTCCGATTTACCAATTTTGCAGAGAAAGGAACCTCGTATGCGTGTCGTGTGGCACGCGTGTGTTTGGAATAACGTGTCGTTTATGCATAATAAAAACGACGTGTTGTTGTTCCATATATCCCTTATCTTATAAAACAGCAGAAGTTAGAGGAAAACTCCTAAAATCAATCTCATAATGACATTTCTTTTTTTTTTATTCGTGTCATTTCTCAAAATTTTTGGTTTCCAATTTCTATTTATCTAATCT